CAAATCATAAGGAAAAAAAACCTCGAGTTCTATATACTATTTTCCCTCAGTCCTGGAGCTTTCCAGAACTGCTTGGTCAGTAAACTTGCTCTTCCCCTGTTTTTTCAGCAGTTCTTCTGGGGAAGGGGGCCCGCTGTGCTGATTCCCAGGTGTCTGTGTCTGGGCGGAGGTGCCTCACCCCTTGCCAGGTGGCTGGGCTCAGTGTGAGCTCTCTGCCCTGGTAGGACTTTGTTCCTGGAGGCCATGCCTCGCCCAGGTGAAAGGAGGGAAAAAAAAAAAAAAAAAGCTGCAGCCAGATCTCCAGCCCCAGAACCAAGAGCTCCCAGCAGGTACCAACCTGCAGACTCTTAGTGTGCACTGGTGGAGATCCCGCTGGGGGCAGGCATGGGGACGCTGATTTCTACAGTTTGAAGGGCACTGGGAGAGCTTTCATGAGCTTGTGCGTTCACTGGCTCTGCCCCTCCTGGTGGGAACAGGGGATAGTCCACTTCTGTCCCCTGCCAGGCCCTGGGGCAGACAGCATTCACCCGCTCGAGTGTGCACCTGCTCCACCTCTCCCAGATGCCCGCAGAAGGCTGTTGCATTCCAGTCCTTTACTGGGACCTAGTGCGGCAGCGGTCCCCCAACCTAACCATGGTTTACAGTTTATGGCACAGACTGAGCTCTCTCCTGGGCTCGCTCACCCAAACTCGTTTGCCACTCCAACGCTTGGGGATTTTGGCAGTGTAGGCCTCTGCATACTATTCTGTGCCTCCGAGAGTATTGAGACCTCACTGCCCTTCCTGCGAGCACTTCTCAGGCAGGGAAAACTCTCTCTAGAGCAGATTCCTAAAGGTCTCAATTGTGCACTGTATCACTTTCCCGCAGCGGGCTGACAAATGCTCCCTCCCCCTCGTATTTATCTTCAGATATATCCCCTCTGTTTCTCTTCTCTTCTCTTCTCCTTGCACCTTGCAAGGAGCAGACACCTTTCCCTTTGTAGTGTTCCAGCTACTCTTTCTTTACGTCTCAGGTGGAATTCATAGGTGCTCAGGATGGGTTGAAAGTTATCCAGCTAAATTTGGGGGACCAGATGAAAGGAGGACCCTACTCTTCCACCATCTTGCCTTCTTCCCCCAATATTACTTTTCACCTGCACCATGCAACACTGAACCAAACCTGGTAAGCTGCATGGAGAAAGTAAACAGGTGAGGTCACCGGTTTTGGGGTTTGGCCAAGGAGACGCTATGGAAAGACAGTGGGGCGGGGGAGCCCAGAGCATTGGTAAGAGAGGAGGCAGAATGTTTAACCACAAAATCTAAGCAGGGTAATTATGGGACTAAAGAGAGGACAGGGCTGTTAGGCAAGGAAAGAGTAGAAGAGGACCAGAGGTCCTGATGAGCTCCAAGCACTCATTTTAGATCTAGTATATATTTGACGAATACTCAGTTGATAGCATGGGATAGATGCCCATTTCCAAGTGCAAGCACCAAAGATCACTGGACTCTCGTCCGTATAGCTCTCTCTCCATTACTAACACCTCTGCTCCAACTGAGGGGTTCAGTTCATTGAATCAGAGTATGTCATCCTGCCTTTGAACATTTTGTCCTAATAATATCCTGTGCTAATGCCTATTCCATTCCCTTTTGCCTATACAAATCTTACTCATATTTTAATGTTCAGGTCTGACTTTCACAAAACTTGTGGCTCAGAAATAGCACAAGGGAAAAACAAAATCCTCGGACATTTACTGAGCACCTATTATGTTCCAGGACATGTACTGATCACATGCAGTTCTGATTCAATTTGGGCATTGGAGCACTCATCTTCCCTTTGAAAGTGAATTGTCCTTATTGTTTTTAGCACTCTATGGCATGGTATGGTTTACTTGTATCAAGAGGTTCTTTTTTTTTAAGATTTTATTTATTTATTTGAAAGAGAGAAGGGAAGAACACAAAGGGAGAGTAAGAGGGAGAAGCAGACTCCCTGCTGAGCAGAAAGCCTGATGTGGGAATGATCCCAGGACCCCAGGACCACTCCCTGAGCTGAAGGTGGACGCTCAACCACTGAGACACCAGGTGTCCCATATTTTTTTTTTCTGGGTTAATTATGTTGTGTTTTATGTGTGATGGTAGCATCTTTCAGAATGGATTGGGCATAGAGACATAGTTCATAAATTTAGAATGTGAAAATACACATAATAGACTGAAGAGTATGGAAAAAAGGAGAAGAAGTGTGAGTGCCAACCGTCATTCTTTGTAGGTGCTAGGGATTGGGAAAATTTGAAAATTATTGTCCTAGTGTTACAAAATCATTAACATATCTTCTAAAGGCAAGTAATTTACTGCTGATTCAATAGACTCAGACTTGATATATTTGTTATGGAACATCTTCAATTCTACATGACTCTCTCACTTGAAAAGGAGTCAACAATGGATAGAGACATGGATTTCTTTTTATTAGTTGTGTTTCCATATTTTATAGTTGACAATTCAGTAAAATATAGTTCAGTAATTTATTTCAAAAAATAAATACTGTATAATTTGGGTAGTTTTGCATTAAAAGGTTAGTATTGTTGAGAAAAATAGTATTTAAATTAAAGTTGGCTAAAAGTTTAAAAGACTTGACCCATATAAAATATAGTGGTGTTTATAAGTCAGATATCAATGCCAATAGTTCAAATTTTAGCAGCAACAGAGTAATGTTTTGGAGTTAAATTACTGGAATTGGCTCATTAAAGCTATTTTGTAGCATCTCGTTGAGAAATGGCTATGAATTTTTCTTTAATGAATCATCAAAACTTTCTTCTCGTCCTCTTCCAAATTCTCCTCCTACTTCATTTTAAGGAGGTTTATAATATTTTTACATTCAAAAGCTAAACTTCACTTAAAGGATTTGCCAACATGATGTTCATTTCACAGACAAATTAATTCAAGCACAGACAAGTTATACTTGTCTGAGTTTCTGCAGAAAGTTTTTGCCGGAACCAGCAATAGAACTGGAGTTTCCTATTTGCAAATGAGGTAACTATTTTAGAACACTCTCTGCTGTATGTTTAGTGGGTAAAGATGGTCAAACTTGTTATACGAGATGAATGGATCAGAGCCTTTTCACAACATCACCTTCTTCGTGGAGATCTTTGGTTTCTTCATTAACCTCAATTAAGTTTACTAAAGGACTGTTGATTTTAGGGAAAATTTACAAAATATTTCAGTATTTTGAGGGCTCAGCAATCTCTTACTATAGAAAAGGGGGGCTTCTTATATTCCATTTCTATTACAAATGTACAGTGACATATATCATTGAGATGACAAAACCTTTGTAATTCATAGGTGTATATAGTACTCTGATCCCTGGATATACCATAGCAGTGGAGTGTAGGTTTTCATACATGCTATTTTACTTTCTATTGCTTGTTATAATAGAAATATATGCATATTATAGAAAAATTAGAAAACAGACACATAAATAGAAGGAAAATAAAAAAATACTACTCTGAGTTAAACTCTTTGGCACTTTGGTGAGTATAGTTCCATACCCATCCCACTTCTCTATGTAGATGTTTATGGATATATATATATATACACACACACATATCTTTATACATACACATACACATATCTTTAACACCATATATACACATTTTTTAACTTGCCTGTATACTTAATAATAATAACCTTTACATGCCATTATGTACCGATAGCTGTATTTTATATTTTTGCAACATTATTTTTAGTAGCTGTACACTATACTATTATGCAGGTACATTCTACTCTATTTGACCACTTTCTATTATTGGACATTCGATTGTTTCTAACATTTTGTTATTACAATCAGCACAGTAATATACCTACTTTCACATATATCTTTTTGCACTTTCTTCATTATTTCCGGAGGCTAAATTTCCAGAGGAATCACTAGGCCAAAGCCCTGGGCATTTAAAAGTCTGATAATTATCAGCTAAATTGTTCTCCAGAAGGTCTTATAATTTACCCTGTGACCAAATAAATGTGAGAACGTCTCTCTTCTCTCACTAACAAAAATTAAACTATTAATTTTCATCATCTCATTCTGATTTTTACAGTAACTGTGAGATAGCAGAACAGATTAGAAAAACTGCTAATGGTCACACATCGAGAAAGTCACAAGAGTGGGAATCAAGGTTTCTGACCAGCCCTACCACATATTTCTTTTATATCACAGATTTCTCACCATCTTGCTGTTGATGGTGGCAATTCCAAGAAAACCATCAGGAAAGAACCTGAGTGGGAATTCTTGCATGTCACAGCCTGACTCATGTCTGTGTGACTGGCAGTGCTCTGGCCTCCAGCCATTGGACTGTGGGTGGCACAATTCTGGAGATCTGAGTAAGAGGCTATGCTATCACAGTGCTTGTCCAGGCCAGCACTGAAGCCAATAGAAAAGGGAGGAGGAAAGAAGCAGTTGAGGGTCACCAACTTACAGGCCTTGTAAGATGGCCCTGAAACTTTTTGAGTCTTGCCCTATATTGTGATTGAAATAATGCAGGCCATCCATCTGATCTGAAGATTTTTAATTGGTGGGTTTATTTTGTTTCATTGTAAGATTCATACAAACAGAATTCTATTTTTGTTTTCATTTACACAAACACTCAAGTATCCAAGTTCTCGTGAGTGAAACAACAAAAGAAGAGGTGGTAAAAGAGATTGCCTTTTGGATAGAAAGATGTAAAAGTGAGAATTTTTTTTTCCCCTTTGGTATTATATGGTTGGGTAAATTTAACTCAGATTTCAAGAAAGAAAAAAAAAAAACAATAACGAGTTCAATCACGTGTTTGCAAAGTTGTAGAAACTATTTGGCTAAAGAATCATGTAGGAAGCGGTTATGTGAAGGTGCAAGTGATACTTACAAAGGGCTAATGAGCCAGTGGTGGTAGTAGGCGGTGTGGAGTCAGGGCGACAACCAGGTACAGGCTCTGTCTTTGGGGGTGTCTCATTGTGTGGTGGCCAGAGGAGTGCTCCAGGAAGCCTTCCTGACCACGAGTCTTTTTTTTTTTTTTAAGATTTTATTTATTTATTCATGAGACACACACACACAGAGGGACAGAGAGAGAGAAGCAGAGACACAGGCAGAGGGAGAAGCAGGCTCCATGCAGGGAGCCCGACGTGGGACTCGATCCTAGGACTCTAGGATCATGCCCTGAGCCAAAGACAGATGCTCAACCACTGAGCCCCTCAGGCGTCCCCACGAGCCTTGACTTGATTCACTTGTTCTCTTCTGTGCTTCAATCTTGCTCTGCTCTCTCGTCATCAAACCTGCATCATAAATCGAAGTCATTGATTCACCTGTCTGTTGTGCTTGTTGGACAGCGAGCTTCCTGAGGGCAGGAATTGTGCTTTGCTGTGCACTGTGTTCACCAGGAAAGGCTGCATAGAAGAGAGATGGTGGGAACTTAGTAGACAAAATCAAATTATAATATAGGAAACATAGCATCAGAGTTTATCATTTTGGAGTAGTAATTGTGTTTTGGTGGTTATATTCACTGCCTCTCAACAATAGGGGGGTATACTCTTCAAACTGATTAAATAAATTTATATTACATTAATACATTTCAGTCTTTATTAATTTTGCAAACTTGGACAAATTATTTAATCTACAACCTCAGGTTTTCTGCAGAGTAAAAGTGTTAGACTAGATCAATAATTCTCAGTGATGTTTGTGAGACCTCTCCTGATATTCAGAGATGGAGTAGGATATATCAGGATATTTATTAGGATATTTGTGGTTTGGAAAAACATTCTCAGTATCATTATATAATTTTATATTTGGAAAAGGAAATGAAAGGTATTATTTCTGTAATATTAAACAGTAGGGAAAAAAAAGTTCTGGAAAATGTTGACTCCTAGGTTTCACAGAGGTTGGGAGCCGACTCTTTTTGGGAGGTTGTATTAGAATCTCTAGCACAGGTGTGGGAGGGACCATAATCTACATTATTTTATGTTTTTCAAGGAGTTCAACAAATGTGAGAGATACTGCATTAATCTAAAGAAGCTCTAATCACCTAGGATTTCATCATGGCTGACATATACCTTGTTTTTTCTTTGGATTTATTGAAAAGTTCACTTACTTTTTTTTTTTTTTAACTTATATCATTTTGAAGAAAGGCAAAACTGTAGATCACATTAAGACAAGGCTCAGAAAAATAAAGAAGATAAGAAAACCAGTCAGACTGAGTTACTGAAGTATCAATGTGTAGAACTACTATTACTTCATGGACTTGCCCACATCCTTAAGGGTCGGGCTGATAGCTTAATTTAATTGTAGCTTAAAAGATCCTGTGAAAGAGTTGAAACACAGCATAGCATGTTTGGGTGACTGGTTGCTGCCTTTTTGAAGAACCAGAGGCTGTGTTCTCATGGTGCTTGGAGACCCTACTTGAAGGATTTTTTTAAGGGTAACTCTGCTGTTTGGTGTCTGAATGACTTCTCCATACGATGAAATACTTCCAGATAACAACCTGCACAATTCTCATACACCTTTCCTGTCATGAGTATCCATAGCCACAACAAAAGTATAAAATGATTGGAAATGCCATACAAATTTAAAAGAAAAGACCGAAAGGTCACCCTATTATAGCAGTTGATACACAATTCACTTCTTGCAATATCCTCTTCCTGGGGCTTTCCTCAGCTGGTTAGTGATGGGGACAGCTGTGCTGTTTATACTCTGTAACTGTTGGACACCTGGTCCATGCTCTTCAACCCCTCTGGTACCTCGATGACTTGATCACACTCCTGTTGTCCCATGAGTCAAGTGAACCATGATATTTTTCACACTACTTATAGGCCAACCTGGGCTACTTTTACTGTCTATTTTGCCTCTGTGTTTATCAGATATACAGAAGCAGAACCCATTTGTCCTGTTTTATGGTATTTTTAGCTCAGATTCAAAACTACTACATAGCTTTAGACTAAGGGCGTTGTTAAATTGTAAGCAGAGTTTATGCATTTAGAGTAGCAAGTCTAAAATTTGACTTTTGGACCTAAATCTTGAGTACTTAGAGTACTAACTCTCTTAGTTTAGAAGTCCAGGTCTTCTTAAGAGCAGATGTCAAGGAAAGATTACCTGGGCAAGAGAGTAATTGGGGGAAATGCTTGCGAAGGAGAAAAAGGGGTGGGGAGCATGAGTAGGCAAGAGCAAGTTTCAGGAGAGAAGAGAGGATCTGGTTGGAAGCAGCTGCAGACCACAGTCCAGTTCTGAGAAAGCCTCAGCTATGCCAGTAGGGATCCCTGAGCTCCCTGAGCTCACGTCCTATCAGAGGAGACCTGATCAGGCAGAAATGGCCCAGGTTTCCTACCCCCAGTGTTCTCCTTGTCTGGGAGCAGCCGATGGGAAGGAGACCTAACTCTAATGCTGCAGTGGATCCAAAGTTATGTCAGTTTGAGGCTGTCAGACAGCTATGTTCCCTGCTGCAGGTGCTCTGGAAGGGAGAGTTCTAAGGGGGCAACTTCATGGCCACCCAAGTGCCTAAGCATGTGACCTGAAATCCTCAAGATCCTCAGCAGAACTTTCCAAAGCTTATGGGCATTTTTCCCCTCTGTTCTCCACGCCCATCTCCAGCCTAATGTATAGCAATTCATTCCATTCTTAGACTCTCAGTTCCCTCAGAACCAGTTTAGGTCGAGAAGCTACACCTCTGGAGGCTTACTGTGTTTGGCTTTTTATTTCCTAGCCGATAAAATCACTCCTTAAAAAAAAAAAAAATCCTAATTCCACAAACATTTAGGGATGAAATTCCTAGCACTGGGGTAAATACAGAGGACAGAAGATAAATCAGACACATCAACAGACCCATATCCTAGAGAGGTGCATATGTATTAGCAGAAATTTTAATGATGTGATAAATAGAGGACTAGACTGGACACAGATGGGGACTAGCTTGGCCAGCCTGGGCAAAGTCTGAGCAGAGTCTTCAGGGACAAATACAGCTTACTCAGACAGAAAAATGCAGTCAGAGCAAGTCTAGGCAGAAAGAAAGTATGAGGAATGGACTATAAGAAATGAAGCATTCCTGGAAGATAAAGGGTCAGACTTAGAGGTAGACAGGATCCAGATTTATGCTTGGGGACTTGTACTTGATGATGTTAGCCATGGTCACAGGTGCCCTTTACAAGTGGGGCAGAGGACTTGGGTGGGTAAGACCAGGGAACAGTAGGAAGCCATTGCCTATTGAATATTTATTTCCATCCATTCACTGACATTTTTGTAGGAGGATAGGAATCCTGGGGAAAGATTGACTTACATTCAAAAGATGTGGATTCCAAACTCAGCATCACAGCTCACCATAGTTAGACCAGTCACATAATTCCAGAAAACAGACATTTCTGTTATTTAGAAGTGGGAAATAATGACACTTGGCTTGACCCCTATGGAACTATTGTGAGGATCAAATGAGCTGAGATAAGACTTTCGGAAGGCACTTTGTAAACTTTCAGTCTGTGAAAAGTAAGGGACTGTTATCATGTACTGCGCAGGAAATAACAGCACCTGGGAAAACCCACAGAGTGTGGTTTTGTAAGAAGTTGCTCAGCCTTCAAGGGAGAAAATGCCTGGCTCAACATTGGCCAAGAGGAACAGATCTGGGAAATTACGACATGAAGTAAAGCAAATGGGGCTTCTGTTTTGCTTCTGGAAATCACCAGTTCTTAATTGTCATTCTCATTGTTTACCCTTCCTCACCTTGGGTCGTTCTGAAATGAGAGGAAGTTTGGTCGGGTCAGGGAGTACTACTAATAAGGCAGAGGAGATGGTTCAAACTTACTGGATGTAACAAATAGAAACTGAGCCACTTTAATGTGGGGAAGGTGGTAGGCTAGACATCGGGCATGTGAGTGGGCATTCGAATAAGGGTGAGAAGAAACAAGTTCAGCTTTACCAGGAAGCTTTCCAACTCTTCAGGAGTACTATGGGAATCCCTGTCTTCTCATATTCCTAGGGAGAAATAGTATATATTATCAGATAAATAATATTTGCCCTTTAACTCCTCATCTGGAAAAAAAAATCCCTCCTTTATTAGCTTGGTTTTGATGATGATTTGTTCAATTCTCAGGGAAGAAGCTACTAAAAATATAATCAATATACTCAATGTTGGTGAGACCCAGAGGCCAGGCCTGATACATACATTATCAGTACACATATAAAGATATGGAAAATCCCCCCCCCCAAAAAAAAAATTCCCATGATAGAGACTATTCTTAGAATAGCATTGTTTTCTTTAAAAAGTTACCTATTGGGCAGCCTGGGTGGCTCAGCGGTTTAGTGCTGCCTTCAGCCCAGGGCCTGATCCTAGAGACCCGGGATTGAATCCCCTGTCGGGCTCCCTGCATGGAGCCCGCTTCTCCTTCTGCCTGTGTCTCTGTCTCTGTCTCTCTCTGTGTCTCTCATGAATAAATAAAATCTTAAAAAAAATAATAAAATAAATACATAAATAGTTATCTATTCCATGAAGAACAAAAAATTTTATAGAGGAATCAGTCTAGAAGTGTTGGTGTATCCGTTTAGACAACTGGTTGATTTAAAAAAGGGACTTGCTGGCAAAAATGTTAATTACTTTCTCTTGAGTACTTGTATGTTAGGTTGATCTTTGCCATCTTAAAACAAAACCAAAACCAGACAAAAAACTAAGGGACTTTTTAATACTGATCAGATGTCCTCTGAAAGACGTGGACTTTTGGAAAAGAATTCCCCAAGGAAGATGGTTGCTGAGATCCATTCACTCAATACCAAGACCAGCCACTTCTGTTTTTTTTTTTTTAAACTAAAGTTTAGAGGGCAGAAAGTGAAAAACCTTTCCAGTTTAATTCTGAGGACCCACATGGCTCCGTCATGCCCACGCAAGTGTGCGTTTGTTATTGCTGTGTAACAAATTACACGGATTTAGTGGCTTAAAATAACATCATTTGTTGGCTCAGTTTCTACAGATCGGAGGTATGGGCACAGGGTAGCTGGACCCTCTGCTCAGGGCTTCCTCCACAAGATGCTGGCCAGGCCTAGGCTTTCATCAGGGTTCTCTTCCAAGCTCACGGCCTGGTCGCTGGCAGAATTGAGTTGTGTGCGGTTGCAGGAGTAAGCTCCCTGCTCTCTTGCTGGGGTCATTCCCCGCAGGCCGAGCCTTCTCGACATTCTCTGCCCTGTGGTGCCGTCTACACATGGCAGTTTGCTCCTTCAAGGCCAAGAGGAGAGTGTCTCTGGCTTCAAATCTCTGACGTCTTTTGAGGACTCATTTAATTGGGTCAGATCCACGCAGGGTAACTCTCCTTGGATTAATTCTCAGCCAATTGACGGGAGACTTTCGTTACATTCACAAGACCCCTTTTTGTCGTATAAAGGAACATAATCATGGAAATGATATTCCATCATATTCACAAGTTCTGCTCACACTCAAAGAAAGGGTATTGTGGTGCGTATTTACGTCGGGGAGCAGGAATCTCGGGGGCCATCTCAGGACGCTGCCTGCCACCCATACCGTGGCGAGGGACAAGTAACCAAAAGCAGTGACGACTGTTACCTGGGACATAAAGCCTCGATTGAGACAACAGGTTCATAAACGACCTCTCTATATATCCATCAAATGTGTGTAATTCTGCATTGTCTTTATAGATTCATAGTACGTCAAAGCAAGAAGAGCACTTCTAGTTCTATGGCTTTTTCCAACTATATATATATATATATATATATATATAATTTTAAGATTTTATTTATTTATTCATGAAAGACAGAATGAGAGAGAGAGAGAGAGGCAGAGACACAGGCAGAGGGAGAAGCAGGCTCCATGCAGGGAGTTTGATGTGGGACTCGATCCCAGGACCCCGGGATCACACCCTGGGCTGAAGGCAGATGCTCAACCACTGAGCCACTCAGGCATCCCCCCAACTATATTCTATGGAACACTTGCAATAAAGTCCAGGATGTGAGCACTTTTTTGAGGGAAAAAGTGTTCAATAGTCCTGTCAGCTTGGGATTCACTGCACATTCCTGGAACTCCTAGCCCTCATTAGCATAGCAAAGACTCAGGGAGATCCTACAGGGAAAAACAAACACCCAAAAACTTCTCTGGATCCAAAGAAGGGTTCCTAAACCAAGCCCCAGAAAAATTAAATAAGTCACAAAAGCCTACTAGTAGGCTAGTGGAGAAGGAAGGCCTAAAACTAAGATGCTTAGGCTTTCTACCTTCCAGAAACGTGAAGCGTGTTCCTCACGCCCTACATGCCTGCGAGATAAGCTTCAATGAACACAGCCAGCTTCACGAGGAAGTAAACAATAATATGTAAATAGTTTGGCGAATGTATTAATGCTGTGTCCATGGGACCCGTGGTGTCTCTTTGAGAAGCCTGCAATCCCGGCCACGTCTACTCACGCACCATGCAGCAGAGGTGCCAGCCCAGAGAGCGGGCCCAGGGCAGCTGTACCCCCACCTCTCTGTTACCCACACCACAGCACTTCCCAGGTGTAGGACCAGAGGAGGGAAAAAGGAGCTTGTGAAATCCGTCTCCGGGACGTTTTGATAACTGTAGCACACGTACCTGCCAGCCAGACATTTGGGGCTAAGGGACTGATGGAAAACGGATCATTTAAAAATAAGCCCACAATTCAAATGAAGAAAAAAAAAAAAGCGCACGGAGGTCACTGCAGAAGGCAATACAGACCATGTATATAATAAAAACCTGATTCTTGGATCCGAGCGCTTGCAAGCACATGCCCGGGCTGCATTCCACAGTGTAGATCGCATCACGCACATCTGACCAGGAGACAAGAGGTTCCAAGGGGCGCATATTTTCAGCATGAAAACGAGGAGCCATTAGTGGTCGCAAGCACCGGGCCGGTCAGCTGGCGGGCCTGACACACCTTGGCATTCATTGCTCCCCAAAGCCACGCGGTTGCGCCCCGGCAGGGGGGGTGGCACGGGTGGGTGCTGTAGCAGTCACCCCCCTGCATCCCGCTCGGCTGTCCTTGGAAGGAGCCAGGCTAAATAAAGGACCTAGACTCCACCACACTTTTATTATTGGCCGGTGATTCCCCCCACCGGGCAGAGGCCTAGATTCGCAAGTGGTCAGACTTGGTGCATTCTCTCTCCTGGTGCTCCCCTCTCTCCCCCCCCAACTCACCTCATGGTTTCTTTCTTCCTTTTCTGTGGCAGCTGCATCTCAAAAAGGACTGGTGCACTCGTTAAAAACAAGCCCAAGGGGATCCCTGGGTGGCGCAGCGGTTTAGCGCCTGCCTTTGGCCCAGGGCGCGATCCTGGAGACCCGGGATCGAATCCCACGTCGGGCTCCCGGTGCATGGAGCCTGCTTCTCCCTCTGCATGGAGCCTGCTTCTCCCTCTGCCTGTGTCTCTGCCTCTCTCTCTCTCTCTGTGTGACTATCATAAATAAATAAAAATTAAACAAAAAAATAAAAATAAAAAAAAAAATAAAAACAAGCCCAAACCCAGCAAACTGTCCTCATGGTGATGGTTCATAGCCACTCAGACCCAAAGAAAGAAAGAAAAGAAAGAAAGAAAGAAAGAAAGAAAGAAAGAAAGAGGTAAATAAACCATTTAGTCATAAAGGAACTCAAACCACAATATACACCCACCACAATTCTCTGGCAACATTTCCACACATGAGCATATTCTCTGGGGTTTATGGAACCTCCCAGAGCGTCCACTAGGGCATGACTGGGGCAGCACCCTGTGGACGACTCCAGGCTTCGGGGGCTTGCATCTACTGTGCTGGATGCATCAGGAAAATGTAATTTAGGATTTTTTTTTTCTTTTTCTGAGCTAAGGCAGTTCCATTATTCTTAAACGCTGAGTGTTCGGTGGCCATCCTCCAGCTCTCTGGGTTCCACAGCTGAGCCCCCACCCTGATGCTTTCACACCAAAACTACTAGCCCATCGGCAGGTGGCTGTGTGGATACGCTTGAGGACCACAAGAGGCCTTGGTTCTTTGAGAAAAACAGCGAAGCCAGCATCCAAGGAATGGGATTGTATTTCAGCTTGTATTATTCTGGGGCTGCTCATGGAAGAACCAAAATAATAGGGAAAATCATTTCCGAACCCAGAACGTTGGTATATCTGTTAATCGAGAAGTAAAATCAGGTTAGTATATAATATTTTCCCCTGTTATTAGCCCTCAAAACTGGGCTCAGACTCTATTTAGTCTATAATTAACAAGATGTGATGAATATGTTACGCAGAAAGATTTTGAATATGACCGATGCCCCTGCTTTGTTAGACCGTATTCAATGAGGACAGAGTCGTCCTGTAACAGAGAACACACACGCTTGAGCTTAATGCAGATGGATGTAGAGACACATGTTTTTCTTTTTTTCTTTCTTTTTTCTTTTTTTTTTTTTTTTTTGAGACCACGTTTTTCTATTCTAGCAGTGGGACAATATATTTACATCAAGAATATCCAGAAAATCCTGACTGTACAGGTTGGTTGCTGTCTGTACAGTGCTTCTGTCTATCAGTATGGCACAAGGGGGCTCTGGGAAGTGCCTTGTATGATACCCACGCTCCATGTGGGCGTGACATGAGACTTCAGCGTAGTTGGAGCTCGTTAGTCAGAATATTCTTTATTGGGATCCCTGGGTGGCGCAGCGGTTTGGCTCCTGCCAGGGCGCCATCCTGGAGACCCTGGATCGAATCCCACGTCGGGCTCCCGTTGCATGGAGTCTGCTTCTCCCTCTGCCTGTGTCTCTGCCTCTCTCTCTCTCTCTCTCTCTCTCTGTGACTATCATAAATAAATTAAAAAAAAAAAAGAAAATTCTTTATTGTAAGAAATATGGGTTCACTTCTTCCTGGTAATTATTTATGCTAAGTTTATATTAAAAAAAATGCTGCTTCGAGACAGTAAGGTCTCCAGGCTTGAGGTGGGGCAGGGTGATCTTATTTCCATTCCTCTTCTTTCTTTTATCTGGTGGCCTGAATTTGTTTCAATCCACCAAAACCAAGATGAAATTGCTTCCTCAAAAATTCTTGATTTCCTATGATCTGAGGAGCAAAAGGAAGACGGTGTTAGGGGTTCCCAGTAACATGAATAGATATTTTCCCTTTCACTGCTGCACACCAGGATTTCAGGTCAAACCCTAGGAAGGAGACAGGAGGTGTCGAGGGTGAGGAGACAGTTCCCCAGTGATTTTTTTTCTTCTTTTATCAGACTGTAGCTTTAAATGACTGTCTTCCTGGTCCAAAGCAGGCAGGGCTGCTAAGAATTTCAAATAAGTATACAAATGACTTTATCTGATCCTGTAATGGACATATTTTCGATAAGTGAATGGGGAGAGGTGAGATCCCCATTTCAAAGGAACCGGCAGTGGGCCCGCGAGGGTTGGCTAGCAGGAACTTTCAGGAAAATAGTCGTAAGTGCACTGCTGGGCCTCGGCGGGTGCCTTGGGGCTGTACTTTGGACTCTTCACTGCCGGTCTAACAGGTGAGGCCCCAGATGCAAATATTTGGTTTGACCCTTTCTTACTGTCAACACTGCAGCCCTTTGCATGATGTAAAGTATAGAATTTATGGCTGTTTGCACAGACATTATCAAAATAATTGTAAATCCTGCTTTCTTGTTATTTCTGAAAGATTACTGGCCTCACCGGTATTTTAGGGAAGGGGTTCGGTGAAGGTAGGTGAGTAAGGGGCTAAAGAATGAGAAGAGTCAACAGTACAAATGGATTCCAGTGCTCTGCATTGAATTCAGACGCCACGGTAGAGCAAGGAACAGTCACCCAAAGAATCCAAAGTTCACATCAGCACAGGAAAAGGCGATCATTCCTGAACTTAATGGGGTGGACATCAAGGCCAACCTCCTTTCCACACAGACTGTCCCTCCCGTCTTTACTTTTTGCTCATGACCACACATTGTGGTTTTTGACCACCTTCCTTGTTGGATTTTGTTGAATCCCATCTCGTGTTCTTTTTTTTTTTTTCCATCTCGTGTTCTTTTTCAATTTATTTTTATTTTTTTGCTTTTCCGATCTGTGTAAATCTTGCCTCTCCTTATGGTTTTTAAAACATCATCAGGGCAGATGCATTTGGTGTGAAGGCAGAGGGCAGCAAGTAGAAAGATGATGGACTGTGGGATCAGGCCGGCTGCTTTCAGATGCTGGTTCTTTTACCTACTGACTGTGAAAGCACAGGCCAGTTCGTTAACTTCTCCGAGTCTCTCTTTCTGCATCACTCAGAGGTGATCTGTCCTGTGTTAGGTATTACAAAAGAGAGTGAATATAAAGACCACAGCCCAGATCTAGTTCCTTCATATAGTTCTTCCCTTCTCTTGCATGTCTTTGACCTTCCTTGGCCCCAGCACTCTCTGCTTATACTTAGCACACAAGAGCCATCTAAACGTGCTGGTTAAATGTAGTAAAAATACATATGCTTTTTGAGAGTGGATGGAAAGATATAGAAATTATCTCGTATCAGTTTGCGTCAGGGTGGAGAGACTCAGCCCTTACAGAGCTCCACCTGCCTTCCCCTGGATCAGGAGGTTGCTATTTTGTGCTGAACTCTTCTCCAGAGTTGCCTTAGATCCCCACTTTGCCCGTGTAGGTACAGCCTTAATACTTAGATCTGGAAATGGGTTTGTTGAGAGGCAGTAGCAAGGTGGGGAGTGAAGAAGGAAGATAAAGTAGGGAAAATTGGGCAAAATATCCATGTGAGGCAAAGTAGGGAGAGCAAAGCCCTAAAACAAACTAATAAACAAAACAAACACTGAATTAAATACATTTGAAACAACCAAATTCCATTTAAGTAGCGTGATTCTTGCAGCATGGAAACAGTGAGGGCCAAGACTTGGGTAGACATGATCAAGTCTAGTTCATACTTAGGTGTTGAAGTATGTCTGCAAGTGTAGATTCCCCAGGGAATTAGAAAGCTGAGGGATAGTCCAGAAAGTTTAATAAATAAGATTAATCAATTCTATAGTCTATTTGGAAGCCAGCTTAGACTATGCTGCAGGAAAAACACTAGACGAATATTTTGTATATCATTTGACTTTGATGTGTGTAGCATTTTGACCTGGCATGTTCTGGAAATCATGGACTGAGGTGTGCCCCTTTAGAAGAGAACATATCTGGGGGATCCCCAGCAGGGTGGGTGGCTCAGCAGTTGAGCACCTGCCTTCGGCCCAGGGTGTGATCTTGGAGTCCCAGGATCCAGTCCCGCATTGGGCTCCCTGCATGGAGCCCGCTTCTCCCTCTGCCTGTGTCTCTGCTTCTCTTTCTGTGTCTCTCATGAATGAATAAATACAATTTTCAAAAAAAAAAATTAGAAGAGAATATACCAGAGTTAATATTTGATTAATGAGTTGGGGAGGTGGGAGGGCTTATTATGCTCCCATCTCTATTCTTGTGCAGCTGAAATTGATTTTAAAAAATTCACCCAAAATTTACAATTTCAAAAAATTATTTAAGCTGTAGGTTGGCAAGAGGCAAGAGGTAGAGTTGGAGATCCACACTGGAGGATAGCTATGGGCTTCGCTCCTGACCTTGCCCTCTGTTGGGGAACTGGGAGCATTTAAAGGTTGCATTTGTGCCCTGCGTGGCCTGTAGTGTACCCCAGCCTGGGTCTGCAGGGAGGTGGGTCACTGTGCATACAAGTGTAAACCACAGAAACATTTCTTCCCCCTAGGAAATGGATTCTGATTATGCTACGAAAACAAGTGCCAACATTTGTCTTTCGTGTTTCTCAGTGGTTCTGCAGAGGCACAGACTTCGAAAAACAAGTTAAAATTTAATTATGAACTTAACAAACTGTTTTGAATGTTTAAAGGCCAGGCATTAAAAATCATGTAGAATCATTAAGAAACCATAGCTGCCTGTCCAGGGTGTACAACGTGCTAAAAAGGGAAAAGGAAAGAAAATAGCTCCAAGTTGTTTTTACAGTGATTTGGGAAATAAAACTAAAAGCAAAAACGTGATGCCCAAGGTTTCTGTTTGTTTTTTCTTCCTGTGTCTCTAACTTCTATCTTAAATCTAACAAATGACTGCCTGGATTTGTCCAGAGGCAGTGACCAAGCGGGGAGTGAGAAGGAAGCGTAGAAACGCTGGCAAGGGATCAGCAAAAGGGAAAACCAAAAGGAAAGTCATGGTGAACACACTGAACTAACAAATTAAAGTAATAAAACTGCATCCAAGTTGACGTGAATACTGAGCAACCTGATGCAATCAAAGTTGCAGGCCTACCTTGGCCTAAGTATGGAAATTAGCTAAGGTGCAAATGATCTGACGTGCTCTCTGAACGCTAGCTGAAGTCTTAATTTTACATGGGTTTCAGCTCTTGTTTAGTTTAATAAATATTAATTGAGCACCTGCTGTGTCCCAGCACAGCCAGGAACCGGCCACCCCGTGTAAGCAGCGGAGGAATTACAGCAGAGTCGGGAAGGTGACAAGCCAGCAGGTACTTCGGCTGCGGTAAAACAGGGTGTTATAAGATAAAACCATGTAAGAGAAATGATGGCTAATGAAGAACAAAATTCTTATTTAAATCTAATTTAAAAGATGTGAGTGACCACAAGGCCAACGCGGGTTCAACAGCTGACCATAGTGGTGAGT